CGTACTTTTCAAAGTATGGAAGGTATTCGCCAACAACGAGGCAGATGTGGTCAAGGAGCCTGGCAAAGAAGGCGGACTAGCAAATCACAGGGACGAAGAAATGTTCTTTTGGTTCCTGAAGCTGAGAGGGCTCTACATCATGTACCGGATTTGGACAGCCTGCAACATACTTGGTATTAAAGCAGAGCAGTTCAGAGGTGTCAGCAGAAGGACATTGCCTTCAATTTTCCGTTGATCGCCCTCGGCCTCAACTGCGATTACATGACCTTCTACCGAACAGATGTGAACATTGGACGCAAGTTCTTGAAACTTGAGCTTGGCGCCATCATTTGCATTCAAAGCGTTAAAGAGGTCGACACACCTCTTATCCAATGGTGCTATTCACGCAATATACATCTGCCCTCGCGCTTCATCGAGAAGATCAATCGGACCGAGGAGACACCACAATCTCTGTTAGAAAGGTTCCGGTGGAGGGCGAGTAGAAAGGCCATCGCAGAAGCATCACACTGGTGATCAAGCATTTTCTCTACGATTTCTTCTACATGGGGGATCAACTGGAATTTGCAGTTATGTGCAAAACGGGATCGTGATACTCATCGTGAATGATTTTATGGCCAGCCCTGGTGGTACTCGTCGTGCACGGTACACTGGGCAAACCAAAAGATTTTGCATGAGACTTGCATTTATCACCACAACATGTTTTCTTGTTTCCGTACAGTATCGTCATCGGCGACTACTATTCTGGAGATGCCAGGTACTTGGTGGTCAACGATTATACGACGCTACAAATATTACGGGTTACAAATTGGTGATGGACTATGCTCGTCATGGATATTCGTTTTCTGCAGACTGCTATGGATCTGTACAAGAACCTTATAGATAGCTTGCAGCATGTGCACCATTGCACATGAGGTCCGGTAAGAGACCTGTAGCATTCTCATTTCATGTTCAGTTTACAGAACCTGGCCAAACTCGTGCAGAGACGTTTCACTGAATTGAAAAACAGAAGCCATGCGTTCATACGTGTCGGCGTGCGTTCGTGATTGGTTCCCGACCCAGGGATGAAGCCAAGCCTGGGATGGGGGATGCTAAGAATCTCCGAGCCGCAGGCTATAACATCCTAAGGGCAGGTTCTGAGGGTCACCCTGTTCCTTCCCCTTGTTTAAGGTCCTAAACCTTTTGGGGGATTGTGTTTTGTGTGCAGCCGACATGTACATGCGAATGCCTTTGGCTCAAGACCTTGATAATAGAATCGAGGCAAACATCCAAACACAGCTGTGAAGCAAAGCAAAAGGGTTCGTATTCCGCAGTCGCATCGAGTCGTGAGACGACGCAGATCATTTACCTTACAACCCCCTTTTACCACGACCACTACTATACGACTTGCTGTCGAGGGTATTGGTCACCACACGGGAGTCGAACCTCAACTGCCCTGTCATTTGACTACGTGGTTGATCCGCCTCCTGGCAGTGAGGTTGTCGTTCCAGAAGGTTCAGGAGGCTTAGACCAACTATGACCAAATCTTGAAACAAGGCTGTGCAATTCGTAATCGCTTTAAATGGTCAAATCGGGGACCACGCCCAGGCGTGAGCCGTACTGTAACACGGGCCATTGTCAACATGTAATAGTCAGGGTCGCTATCACACTTGCCGCTTTCGGCTCTGCTTCAAAAACATGCTTCGTCGCGTTAGATAGTTTTTGCTCTGCCAAGATAAACTAACTAGAAGTAGACTCTTCCCGAAAGCAAGTGTATACTTACAACCAAGGTGACAACCTTGCTACCTCGGCTGTAGATTATCGTATCAGATCGATAGGCGATGGAAGCGTGATTCCTCCGTATTCTTTCCCATCAAGCGCCTTGAGCGTGTTCCGTCCTAGAGCCCACTCAAACCGGTTCAAGCTTATGACACTCCCGCAAGCAGCTACTTGACTATGTTCTCACGATGGATGTACCGAAAGGGTTATGTTAAAAACGTTTGGAACTTATCCAAATTTAATGTGTTCGGCAGCTTATTAGTCCGCGACTTGTCAGGCAACGCTTGCGCCTGCAGCTGAGTTCCGGACAACTGATTTGGATTTTGTGGGCGTCGTGGTATGGTGGGTGTTTGCTTTACACGAGGGGCGCGATGAATGTATGAATGTACCCCAATATTTCAACTAACATGGTGATGTGTCTTGTGGCTATAGATCTGTTTTGTGGTGTTGGGCTGGTTGATCCTTTGCAGTTGTGCGAGCTGCAACTATAAGAGCTTGACTAAGTTTGGATTTTGGATACAGGCCATGTGGCGCAACATTTGCAACACAACTGGGCTCATGTTATCGCAAATTTGTTTGCTTGCTGGTGAACAATCTCTCTCTCTTTCTCTACATATATATATATGTGCATATATATATATATATATGCGTATGCGCGTGTGTATACATGTATGTGTCTATATATAAGTTGTATGTAATACAATTTTATGATGGAAGGCCGCGCGACAACATGCATATGGAACATACATTCCGCGTATGATATTTAAAAATGTATGTAATCTGTGAAGCCTGAGACCTAGTCACGAGAACTGCAGGGGCGGATGCCTGCAAATTCCGAATAATTGCCAGTACTGTCTGCACGGGTGTTCTTTGCGCATGGGCCTGGACTGTCCGAAACAAAAGACCTCAAATTTGAAAGGCCTTAGAAATGAAAGTCTTGGGTCGCTAGGGTACGGTCAGATCATAATTAGATTTTAGTCTCCGCAGAATTACGGCCAGATCGTCATCAGTTTTACCTCTCCGCAGAATCGCGGTCAGATCGTCATCATATTTTTTTTTTATCACGTCCCCGAAAATGACGGTCAGATCGTCATCTTTCTTTTTTTAAATCACGTCCGCGTAAATTTCGGTCAGATTGTCACCAATTTTTATCACGCCCCCAAAAAGCGGTCAGATCGTCATCTCCGCAGAATACAAATGACACATTTTGAAAAGAGACAACGTTTTAAAAATAAACATGATAATGCAGATCAACTTTAGTCTCCGCAGAATTACGGTCAGATCGTCATCAATTCTACCTCCCCGCAGACTAGCGGTCAGATCGTCATCAATTTGACCTCCCTGGAGAAATTACGGTGAGATCGTCATCTATTTTAGTCTCCGCAGAAATATGGTCAGATCGTCATCAAGTTTAGTCTCCGCAGAATTACGGTCAGATCGTCATCAATGTTACCTCTCCGCAGAATTACGGTCAGATCGTCATCAATTTTACCTCTCCGCAGAACTACGGTCAGATCGTCATTAATTTTACCTCTCTGCAGAATTACAGGCCGATCGTCATTAATTCGACCTCTCCGCAGAAATTTCGGTCAGATGGTCATCAGATTTTCCTCTCCGCAGAATTACTGTCAGCTCGTCTACCTCTCCGCAGAATGACGGATTAATTTAACCTCTCTGCAGAACTACTAGATCGTCATCAACTTGACCTCGCCGCAGAAATTACGGTGAGATCGTCATCTATTTTAGTCTCCGCAGGTCAGATCGTCATCAAGTTTAGTCTCCGCAGAATTACGGTCAGATCGTCATCAATGTTACCTCTCCGCAGAATTACGGTCAGATCGTCATCAATTTTACCTCTCCGCAGAACTACGGTCAGATCGTCATTAATTTTACCTCTCTGCAGAATTACAGGCCGATCGTCATTAATTCGACATCTCCGCAGAAATTACGGTCAGATGGTCATCAGATTTTCCTCTCCGCAGAATTACTGTCAGCTCGTCTACCTCTCCGCAGAATGACGGTCAGATCGTCATTAATTTAACCTCTCTGCAGAACTACTAGATCGTCATCAACTTGACCTCGCCGCAGAAATTACGGTGAGATCGTTATCTATTTTAGTCTCCGCAGGTCAGATCGTCATCAAGTTTAGTCTCCGCAGAATTACGGTCAGATCGTCATCAATGTTACCTCTTCGCAGAATTACGGTCAGATCGTCATCAATTTTACCTCTCCGCAGAATAACGGTGAGATCGTCATTCATTTTACCTCGCTGCAGAATTACAGGCCGATCGTCATCAATTCGACCTCTCCGCAGAAATTACGGTCAGATCTCCGCAGAATGACGGTCAGATCGTCATGAATTTAACCTCTCTGCAGAATTACTAGATCGTCATCAACTTGACCTCGCCGCAGAAATTACGGTGAGATTGTCATCTATTTTATTCTCCGCAGAATTACGGTCAGATCGTCAGCAATTTTAGTCTCCGCAGAATTACGGTCAGATCGTCATCAATTTTTATCTCTCCGCAGAAGCACGGTCAGAGACACCGACAAAAACCGACAGAATCTGCCAAAAAACGTCAAAAGCGCAAAACTGGCCCAAGATGACAAAGTTTTTAACAAACTGTTCCCCTACAATCTGTTTCCCAACCTTGTCTTAATGAAGTTGGCTTGGGAGGACCCTCTTGCTTCCGGGTGCTGGTTTGCGTGCGTTTTGCTCTCCTCCCCCGTGTTTGCGCAGGTTGCTCTCAAGGGCCAAGGCCTGCGATCCGCTGCTTCAGCTCCGGCCGCTTATTGGGCTTCTTTGACTGATGGTTTTCCAGCGACCCCTGCGCTGGCCACCTCCAAACTGGTATATCTGCAGGATGCAGCTCCTACCTGCCCCTCACCCCCACTTGGCACGACGTCTTCTGGTTGAGGACAGCTTGTCAGCGCACCCGCACCCAAGTTGACTGCGGTCAGTTGCTTGCTTGTGTTGCAGCCGTTTGCTGGTTGACTCTTCACTGTTCTTCCGCTTTTCTCATATGTCGGTCCCTTTGCGCTTGTTCCGTGTGCTCGTTCAACAAGTGCACGGGGAATTCTCAGTAATTTTTTGCATCATCCTTGCTTTAAACAGTTTCTCATGTTAGCAGGTGTTAGATTGTCATTTTCAATGTCACAGACCATTTGTATGGTTTCTGGGAGGGTTGGCTCGAGGACCGCGCAAACACCTTGGGGATGCCACAGCCACGTCATGTTGCGACTGCAGCTTGGCTCAAGATGCAACTGAATCTCCATAAGTGCAACGGACTGTCCCAACGGACACTGTGGGATGCAGATTGCATTCATCTTTCTTCTTTGCCAAGCTGCAGCAGGAGAGGACCCACGCTACGCACGTGTGCATGTGGATGACATCCTGGCCGTTTCCATACTTCAAGTACATGTGCAGCTGGAGCAAACCAACTCCTCTTGGCCGACGTCTGCCGGGCTGGCGCAGTATGAACACCTGACCAGGCATGTTGCGTCCGAAGTTTCCGACATTGGTGTTGAACGACCGGACAAGAAAAGAGAATCCTCAGTCTTACCAACGAGTGCTCTTTCCAGCAAGGCCATTGTCAGCGCAACTCTGGTTGCGCTGGTCGTCGCGGCTTTGTTGTTGCTGTCGCGGGGCTTGCCGCCGAAGCAGCCCAGGCAAATCCACCACACGCTGCCCAGAGGTGTTTTTAGCCTTCTGGTGACGATATATGGTTTTGTGTATGTCAGTACTGAAATATTTGTCCCAAGCCTGCCAACCATGCAGCTTGACCTGGGCGGCGCCCAGTCATTGATGAGCGGCGCCGTTCAGATCAACTTGCTCATGCAGCTCGGCACGCCTGCGAATGCGGCTTTCTCGGTGTTTTTTTTGTACTTGTGTTTGGGTGCTTGTTTGTGTGATTGTGTGTTTGCATATTGTTGCACTCGTGTGTTTGTGCGTTTGCGCATCTATCCTGGCATGTCTTCGATGCCTTGCCTTCAGCATGGCCTACGAATCCATTCTGCAGGCTGGTCTGCAGGCCAGCCACTTTGTCCGTTTGTCTTTGGGCGTGTTGTTTCTTTGTTTGTTTGTTTGCTTGTTTGTTTGTTTGTTTGTGTTAAAACCCTCTAGGCCCCGTGCCGAAATTGGGTAGCTGTTCTGAGGTCCTTGTTGGTGTTGCTTCCCAAGTTCCATTGATCGCCATTTGGCTCAAGACACAATTGAGGTTCAAGATCTGATGTGTGACTGCAGACCTACGTGATCGGCATTAAGAGCAAAACAACTGCTTGCGCTGCATTTGTCAGGACTACTGTTGTAACTATCATTCCTTCTTCCTTACAACGTTTACACGGGTTCGGCTATAACGGCATCGTCCGTATACACCTTTCTACGTGGTTGGTATTAAAGCTTGAGGGTTCGGTGCACAGCGTCCCACGGGACGTCACCTTGCCGTCTCTTGACAGGTTATCAGCCGTAACTACAAGCTCTACACTGGACTGGGAGACAGCTGGTTTATTGCGGGTACAGGGACAATAAAGGAACGATAACCTACACAGTACAATGGCGTCTTCGGCGAGCCCAAGTACTGCAACTTTTGGGAACAGCAGCTCAGAGGGATCCAATGGATTGATGGCTCTTCCTGCGGTGATGGATATGGTTGCAGATTCACAGGATGAACCTGGGAGCGGAGGTTCCGCGCTATTCAGCGACATATCTACTCCCACAAGATCATGGAAGCAGATCGATGTTCATCAGGAGTCGAAGAAAAGAGAATCCCCACCGAGAAGATCATCATCTTCGCCTGCGACACCACGGACGTCGCAGAAGGGCGTGAGATCGACATCGAAGGGTGGGAGGTCAAAATCACCCACCAGTGCAGATTTTCGCGCCGTGATCAAAGAGAAGAATAAGATGGAGGTGGAGATCGGGGAATATCAGAAGACACTTGATGAAATGTCGGCAGCAATGGCGAATCTTAACCAAGAAGACTATGGAAGCACCATCCGGATCCAGGAGCTGGAAAGACGATGCGAGATTGCCAGCAAGCAGTCGGGACATCTAGTGAGTCACCACCAACACCACATGGCTGAGGCATGGCGCAAGTTTGAGGAAGAAGCCCAACAGATGCGCAAGGTGGAAATGAACGCATTTCAGTACGGGGAGAAGAAAGACATGGAGTCGAATATTATAATGCAACAGATGAGGCAAGCTGAAGGAACTATCATGGAGCAGAAGCGGGAGATTGCATTGATGAAATCCTACATGGCAAGCGAGAAGTCGGCCGCGCAGGAATCAGCTATACGTGCAAATCAGATACACCGTGAGGCTTCACAACAGATATCAGCTTATCAGCAACAGATCAGAGGCATAGAATCTTCTACATCTATCGAGAAGTTCAACGAGGAGGAGATGGTCCAAAGTCTGAAATCACAGTTGGAGCATGCACTCGTCAAGCGCCCCGAGACGTACTCTTTGGAGGACTCCAGGGAACAGCTGATGGCGAGGCTGAATGACGTTACAGTATTTGCGGAACAGGAATCGAAGAGAGCAGATTGCTTGCTTCGCGAAAAAGAAGAGATCGTCAAACAGTATGAGTCCGACGTGTCGATGAAGGACCAGATGATTGCTGTCGAAGGTGGTCATCGTCAGGATGCGATCTTGGAGTTAGCCCAGGTCAAAGAAGAGAAACAAGAGGAACGGTGCACGATGGACGAGAAGTCGAAGGAGGCTGAGTACTGGAGATTGACAGCTAAGGGAATGTACGATGAGTACCTCGAGGAGATGCATGAGCTTCAGAGACAACTGAAAGAAAGAGAGGCGACGCTCAAGCAAGAAGAGAGTTTTGTACGCCAACTCGATGCTGACAACGAGGAACTACGTGCACACAAGAAGCTGGAGACACAGGAAGCCTCCAGCAGCAAAGATGGACATCGTGAACGAGCAGTAGTGAAACGCGCTGAGGGAGGAACCCAGGCTAATTCAAATAGGATAGACAAGAAGGTGGCTGGGTCAGTCCCGTCATCGTCTTCAAATCAAATCCCTAATTCGTCGCTGATGCCAGGTTCGATCCTCTTTCCGTCTTTCGGTGATCCAATGATCGATGTACACCTATCCCAGATGCAAGGGGTTGTTGGGCATGTCCCACAATCCACTACTACGACTGGTGGTGGTGATGGGGGGGGAAACAACGGTACTACGCCCCCATTGGATTACGGTGGATTCCCGCCCAATGGGAATGGGCAGGGAGCGGGTCGACGTCAGTTGAGCCTCGCTGGTGGCGGAGGAGGACCTCCGGATGATCCACCCGATGATGAGGATGAGGATGACGACGACGAAGGAGATGAGGAAGACGAGGAAGAAGAAGAGGAAGAAGACGATCGGACACGGAGGAGACGAAGGAGATCGAGAGATAACCGAGAGATCAAGAATGATCGACCGAGAATCTCGAGGAAAGAGGCCGAGAGAGTATCTATTCCGGCCTGGCCAAAGATCCATCAACTTGACACCTGGAAGATGCAACTGCTGATGAATGTTCTGAGCGCATGTGCAGATCCAGATACCGACGCATGGACGAAATGGCTGGAGCAGGCTCTTGGGTTGAACCCAGACCTGGATTTGCTTAGCGATTCAGGTGGCGACAGATTTGCTACGATAGATATTAAGATGGCCATGGGCATGCAGAACATGCTGAAACAAGCACCTGACGAAGCCAAGGACGTATACCTCGATGCTACACGACACTCTGAACTACGACATCAACAAGGGGTGATCGTGAAGGGACGAGAGTTGGTGGCATTAGTTATGCAATCATTCAGAACTTCCGATAGAACGGATCTTGTCTACCACATCGAGCATCTATTCAACCTTGACTTTCCTGGCGACAAGAACTTGGTCATGTTCAGGAACAAATGGTATGATTTGCTGCTGAAGATGAGGAGCGAGGACAGACCCAGTAAGCTGGCTCTCAGAGACATCCTTTACAGGAAGATCAAAGGGAGCAAGAAGATGGAGTTCGGCCTCAATGCCTACCATAGACTACCGGACAAGCATCCTCAGAAGACGTATGAATTCTTATTGGCGTTGATCGACTATCAGATCAAGGCAGATCGGGAAGACCTGATGCTCGACATGAAGGAGAAATCGGTCAAGTCGATGATGAAGTCAGGCGGGAAGGATGCGGCTCCAGCAACTGGCAAACAGGAGAACCAGGGTGGCAAGGGCAGAAAGGGGAAACCCGGTGGACCTGATGCCGCTCCTGTGCTCCCAAAAGCCAAGGCAAAGGGCCACGCTGGCAAGAACGGCAAGTCCGACGGTGCCAGCGACAGAGGCAAGAGTCCGGGCGGAAGCAAGGATAACCCCTGCTGGTACCACTTCAAATCGGCGAAGGGGTGCGTGAAAGGGAATGAATGCACTTTTTCCCACAGCAAGAAGACGGAGCATAAGTTGGAGAGCATGTCCAAGGGGAAAGGAAAGGGCAAATCCAAGTCCAGATCATCGTCACCAAAGAGAGATGATGGAGCATGCTTCGCGTTTCAGAAGGGGAAGTGCGATAAGGGAAGCGCTTGCAAGTATAGGCATGAGCTCATCAAGAACAATTCAGCTCCAGCAACGTCAAATGACAAGGCGCAAGCCAAGTCGAAGGCTGCCGCCAAAGCCGCAGCGCCAGCCATTGCGAGGAGGGCCATCGCAATGCCCGCGATAGTCCTGAAGCAATCGGCTCCTGCAGGGAAGGTAAGCTTCAAGAAGGACGTTGATCAGGTCGAACCGGACGAAGCCGAGACTGTCTACCACGAGCACGATGACGACGCGATGAGCGAATCATCGAGATGGTCTGGCGAGTCCGAGATCCCCGAGAAAATGGTGTGGTTCAAGGAAGTGCTCGACGTCGACGAGAATGGGGAGATCACCTACCTCGAAGACGAGAGAAGGCAATGGGAACGAAAAGGGGAATGGTACGGTTATGAGGACAATGAGAATGAGCCTTATCAGTACGTGTACGTCGACGAGAAGAAGTTCAAAAGCAGTGATCATCGTGAATTATCAGCCTATCAAGTCCAACGATCATTGATACGTGCGAAGATACTGAGAGAAGTGGTGGATGATATATATAAGAAGCACTACTTCCCGGTGACCAAGGAGAGCAGCATAATGTTCGAGTATGATCGGAACAAGGACGAGATCAAGGAATCGGCTGTCGACTGGAAGAAGCAGCATGGTATGCCGAAGAACGTTTTCGCCATGTCAACGTGCATCAGCAAACGGGTGAAATGGTTGATGGACACCGGATGTGGTCATGATCTCATCGGAAGAGCCAAGGCGAAGAGCCTGGGTGTCGACATCGTGAAAGATGACGACGAGATCGTGTTCCAGACCGCGAATGGTTCCACTTCCACATCTGATGTGGCCAAGATAGTCGTGGACGAGTTGGACGAGACTGTCGAGCCGCATGTATTGGATGAGACACCCACGGTATTGTCAGTGGGGAGGAGATGCATGAAGATGGGTTATGCATTTCACTGGATGCCTGGTAAACTACCTTTCATGGTTACGCCAAAGCAGGGATTCGTGCACTTGCAGGTCAAGGACGACATCCCGTACCTAGTGAGTGATGGTAAACTTCGGAGTAACAGGCATCGCCCTACGATAGACGACCTCAAGGAGCACTTTTCGGAAGTATTGGCGATGGTAACGAACGACGAGGCAGATCAGGGAGGTGACGATGAGAACGACGTCACACCCGCCGCTGTCGGTGAGTCCGCAGAGGCCGAGGGCGAACACCACGACGGGGCATTCGACTTCGGGCCACCCGGAGGAGCCGGTCCGGTACGTCCGCCTCCCGTGGCTG